CATTTTTCACAAAGATCTTGTTGACTCCCTTTTTACCGAGGGCCATTGTCCTCGTTGGATCCACCCTTCCGTGCAGGCGACTAAGAACAACGCAAAATGCGAAATGCTATTTTAAGGCTAGCATCCTTCTTCACTCCTCTTGTCACCCACAAAACAGGTTTCGTCCTTATTCGGGCCTTTTTTGTTTTATTTTATTTATTTATTTATTTATTTATTTATATTTTTTTTATTAACAAAATAATGGATACGCTACTAGTGGGGCTGTTAAGTCACAGTAAAAATTACTCCCACAGACTTCTTTCAAAAATGGCAGTTGCATTATAAGCAAGGGAGCATGGGAAAAAAGACTCCCCAAGCGTTAATAGATGGGTTTAAAGGGAAACTTTACGGATTTCAGATCATGTTGCATATAAGTGGGCGGCTGATGGGTTGCGCATGTGGAAACATTAGGGCACCTCATTGTCTCAGTTCCATAGTGGCAAATTAATGCAGAGTGTTAATGCAGATGCTGGTGTGGGGCAGTTTGTTAAGTGCATTTCCTTGACGGACATGATCATATCGACCGGTATTAACGTAACGGCATATTCATCGTCAGACCAAATAGACAATGGCTGACGACTTCCGGCATTTTCAAGCCCCTCCAACTTGCAAACCTCAACAACCCGGCTGATGCTGATGTATGAAATTCCGCTATCTTCCTCAACTTGACGTTTGCAATACAATCGCTTAATTTGCACACTGTGGACTCGATAGGGCAAGTAACGTATTGCAGTTTGGATGAGAATGTTTGTACAGCACTGCCAGCCTGGCCGTCACGGTCATGTTTTTAATTAAGATATCAATCATTACGGCTCATCGGTCATCAAAAAGCGTCTATTTTCTTCGGACAGCTGATTTCCAGTATGACCTTATCGGTTTGCTTGTTTGGGTTTTTAACCGGTGGATGGCACCAGAAAACTTGTTGAAATCCTGCTCCGAAACACGTTCGGACAGTAAGGTTCATTGCTGTTTTAGATTCCTGTCACAGGCCGTGATATTTTTTATTCATTTTCCATGAATTATAGCTCGAACAATCGTTTTGTCGACCGAGGTAAAACAACCGCCAGGGGTAGGAACACGCGCCGTTTAATTTCAGAAAACACGCACTGTCTCGTACTATAGAGTCCACCTGCCTGCCACGCACAACACCCATGTGTAAAGGACACCTCAATTTACTAATGAAAGTGCTTTTTGTTCCAACATTGACATAAGTCAATAGGAATGCGTTGCTAGAGCCGGAGGCTATAACGGGAATAACAAGGGGAATGAAATTTTGCGACAGTGAGTCCCAGCACATCTGCCTTCCTGCTGTGGTGAATATATGTTCAACACGACCTGTAATGGCAAGGGAGAATCTTCGGATAACCAACACTATGTACATTTCACACAAGCACTTCCCTTTAGAGGAGACATTTTCACATCTTTGATCGCCGGATCGGGTAAACTGTATCAGTGTTCGACCTGTGGTCGGTCACAATCATAATGCTGACTTATGTGCAGTGCTATTGCAAGAGCCTGCATTCGAGGAGATAGAGAATAATAGGCTTTAAATATTCACTCCCATTTTCAACTCACTCATCGGCTTATTATTCTCTACTGGTTACTAGAAAAGAGATCAGCTCGTCATCCGTTCTCTCTTGCGGTAAAAATGTCAACCTGTGCGTTTTGATTACTCATTGGTAAATGTTACAGAGTGAAGGCTCTGTCCGGCAAATCTAGGGAAAAAAGACTCTAAATCAAACTTTCTTTGAGCGTCTGCTGACCCGAGGCCATTCCAGAGAATAACGGGATGTCCAAGGCAAATGGAAATGCGAATTAGCAACAGGAAAATGGACTTGACGCAAAGTAATTGGCGACATTTGGAGGACAGGCAGGTGTTCCTCTCGGTATGAAAGAAACAACTATGGGCCAATAAAGAAACGTGTTCTGGCGAAAACAGCTTAAAACTAAGGTTTTTCAAGACGAAAGCGGGTCTGATTCTTAAAGTGCTAAACAAGTTTATCATATCTGGACTGTGTCACGGCTCTTCCGTGCTCAAGAAGTCAACAGTATATAGGGCCTATTCCTCGGGGCGAAATAAAATAAACTCTTGCATATATTGATTGGCAGTATTTGTTCAGAAAAACCGTTTTACTACCAACCCAGCATTCGGATTAATGTAAGAAATAATGTTGACTTTCTAGCCGTTCTTATTTGAAGTTAAGAACGACGAGGCTTTGACTGTGTACAAATGGGGAACTCACTAATTTTATTAAATGAATTTAACCAAACTCTAGTAAGTTAAAGATGAATTTTACGTTTCAGGCCGCACGTGATATATTTGCACAAAAATTGCTCAGCCGTTAGTTGTGATACCCTCAACAACCTATTCCTCCTGTGCTCGAGTAAAAGGGGAAAATATACAAGAACCACACCAAAAAACCCTCTTTGAATTCAGGGCTGCGAGATGTTAGATTCTGGAAAATCGATGTGGGGTCTAGGGAGCTGACGGCACAAAATAGAAAAGAGTCAGTCGCTCTGTTCAACACTACAATTATATATGCTTATTGCAAACGGCTGCATGTAACATTTTGAAGCTGAAATAAATCGTGATATGTAAACGACACGCGTCTCTGTCGCCAGATTCAAAGAGACTGTTTCGATTTTTGTTTTTTGTTTTTCTTGTTCGTTGGGGTGTTTGTTTGTTTGTTTGTTTTTTGTTTTGTTGTTTGTTTTTTGTCCTGATGACAAATGAATAAAACCATCACGTATTGCTTGGCTCCGCACTGCATTCCCCATACCTATTTGACTATCTATCGGCAGACCGCAGTGGTGAAGCACCACCAGCTGAGGTTTTACCTCAGTACATAAGAGACGGGTTTTGTTCTCCAGAGGTTAGTGGGCATTTCATAATTTGCGAAATGGAGGTGTGTCTATAAGGCCGATTGAATCAACTCTTTCGCAGTGCCAAACGGGCACGTGCTTGAGTGTTTCATTCATCTTTCAGGATGCCACATAGTTGCTAAGAAATATCAAAGTGGATCAGGCTATTTCTGGCGTACAAAGCTGTATGCCTATTTAGGACAGGGTGAATAGTTTTGCCCTCTCCCTCCTGCTAACGTAAGCCATATAAACCTTAGATACGTCGTAAAACCTTGCGCACTATTTATTTTTCAGACATGTGGGTTACAAAACTTACAGACGAGGTAAATGCAGTATAAAGCCGCCTTTCCATATGTACTTTTTGGGTTGCATTGCATACACGATGAGTTCATGCGTTTCACTTTCACGCACACCAGAATCGACGCCAATAACATAACACACGTGTGCATTTTGTCGAATACGCAACGTTTGGCGTAAGTGTTGACGGACTTATGGAAAGCCGTACGTGCGGGTACGAGACGCGCGTAGAAGAGAAAACACGTACGTTCACCATGTCTCTGTACAGAATCGTATTGGCCCAAAACTGCGTCAACAGTGGAACTTGAACATTCCTAACATTTTTCACGAAGATACGGTGTATTACCCGCAGTGTCAATCAACAACCAAGAATTACAACGAGCCTCCGCAACGTGTTTACTTAAAGATACCCTGTTGGACTATTAATTACTGCCTCAACTGCCTCAACCATTAAACTTTCCTTACCCCGTATATTTAATAACTTTGATGTTTCTCGCTGGAATGCAGGCTCCCGGCAGCCAAAGCGCTGAACAGTATCAGATCTCTTTTGGACATAGTGAAACCAAAATGCCAGAGAAAGTTGGCCTTTTATCAATCACCGTATCAGCAGTTTCATTTACTTGTGCTATAGTGCATATTAGAAAAGCTTTGCAAGCAGGTGTATGCGATAGAAGGTTGAGGGAATGGATCATAATAAGGGATCAACCTTCCAAAAACAAGAGATTAATCTTGTCCACCGCACTAAATGTCAGTGGGGCCATGGATTAATTGAAAAAGAAAATAGATTCGACAGAGTACTCTAAAGGAGGCGCTGCATGTCATAATACATTCATTTATCTTAAATCTATACCATGGATTTCATTTGGTTGAGTTATATTGGTGCTTTTATTTTAATGCTTTGCCTGCAATGAAACGATTGCTCAGAAATGGGGGGGCATGTGGCCGAGTGGTTAGGGTTTGTAACTTCCGATCATAGGTTTTGGGGTTGAATCCAGCTGGTGGCAGCATGTTGTGATTTTGGGCAAGTCACTTGGGCCCTGTGTGCCTCTCTCTACCCAGGAGCAAATGGGTACCTGCGAGGTTAACCTAGTAACATATTGTGTTTGGGTGTTGTTGCTGTTGCTGCTGCTGCTGTTGGCCTGCCATTTATTCTTTATGATTTGTTCTCCGAATGATTCCACGTCAAAGAATGGGTTCAATAAGTGCAGTTATAGTTTTTGCCCGTTTGTTGCCTTCTCTGCTAGGGAAGACGGAGACACATAAATTTCACCTGAGGTTAAAACGTGATTGCATGCGGACAGGCCAAACGGCTAATCAAGCATATTTTCTTGTGTCTTCCTGCGTTGTAATTAGTTATCAATAAACTCTTTACCATCATCTGTCAGATGTTCTGTTCTTACACCAAAAACCATAACATTTACGATGGCCTGTCTACATAGTTTCCCCATTTTGCAGCCTACGCTGTTTCCGCTCTTTTTTCTGAAGTCCATCGAGTTTCCTTTCGAGGCTGGGTGTTTACCAATTCCTTTATTGTTTTGCGTGTTGTCTACCGAATTTCATTGTTTTGTTTTTTCCAATTGCGATTTCTCTCCTCATAAAAGTATTGTCTAATGCAAACGCTATATAACATGGTTTTTCCATTATCATTGCTCTCCAGAGCCATTAGTGATCTTACCACTGCTAAGCTATCATTAGTTAATTCTGACAATTATACTGGATGATAAACCGTTCTTCATAGTTCGTGGTGAAATATCTACTACCAAACGTGTTAGTGAAAATGTTAATTTCTCCGAAATCCTTACCTGGAATGCGAATTGCGGCACGTTTATGATCAGCCGTGCATGATAAAGGGTTACTGAAGGACACCCTTCATTTCAATCGAAGATTTTAGTCCAGCGTATGACGCTCCAGCCGATATATCTCATCTTTAACAGTGTACGTAGTTCGTAAGCTCGGTGGAATCCTTCTCCCGGTGCCACAAGGCTGCCACTCTGCCGTCTTATCAGGGCCCCTGTGAAACGTGGCGGCAGTTTTGTACGAAAATTCTGCTGGACTAGTCCATTTCTCTCCGAAGCGGGGGGGGGAGGGTTACTTAAGTCTATTACATGTTTAGGCTAGCTTAGGATTGGAAACTGTATGCAGAAATGATAGGTTAGCTTCATGAATTCCAATATCATTGCAAGCTCCAATTTTCAACTGGCTCTCCCGGATAATGGTGCATGCTCAATGCCATAGATAATCAAGTCGCAGGTTTACACTTAAAATGCGCGCGTCAGCATTGTACGTCTAATGTGGATTATTCCAGGATAGCCGGTGGTTGTCTGGTATTGTGCAAGGAAATGTTAGACTTGTCTTTCAGATTTCCAACGTCTGATCAAACGTGCACAATACACGGATAAAATTTAATGCCGGTGACTAAAATGCGTTACCAAAAATGACTTCTTTTTGGTCATGGGAATTGGCTTTACGGAACCTTTAACTCTCGCCTTTCACAGCCCATTAAATGCTGCGCTAGTGTTTAGGCCCACCACTCATAGAGCTATCGGGTAATGACCCCCTCCCTGTATTCTCTATTAATGTGTCGCATATAGGAATGATACAAAACCTGTCAGTAAGTCGGGAAATGACTGCCTTATAGATCGTTCTTGACAACTGAAACCCCGAAGACACTGGTCTAATCCCAAAAGTCACATTCCGAACGAGCTGCTAAAATCTCCATTCTCTGAAATGTACCGTGTTAAGTGTTATGTATATATACGCACTTTTGACAAATTAATGGCGGCGATGACAGCGGTAGATTCTTTCTAATGGACTGGGGTTTCAACTGCTACGTGAAAGGCATGTTTGCCGACGCCTTTTGATCGATTCCAGCCCGCGCAATTTATCACTCCTCTAATAGGAGTCTAACAATTTCCGAACCCGTATCTTGCTAAACTGACAAACTGATTTTGAAGCCCACATCGTGCTTTGCATTTCTAACACGACTAAAGGACAGAGGGACAGTCACGATCGTGACATTGTTTTTCTCTCTTGTTCTTTTTTTCAAATCCGAATTTTCGATTCAGCACGGAGTGTAGAATATTTTGTAATGTGGTAATAATGAATGTGATTACAGGCATTGAGGGCTCACTTTACACGCCCCCAGGGTTATTTGCCAGAGTGTTGTTGCGATTCATGTGTAAATTTCTTCTTGGCATTTTCTTGTTTCCGATGACATTTTATAAAAGACCCCACAGTCCCTCAATATGCATACCTTAATCCCGTTTGACAGTACAGTTATAACGACGTGTACTGCTCCTGCGAATGTAGGAATAAATCAATCAAGACCGGGTGTTGTTTGCTGCTGTATAACATTGCATTTCACAGAACAAAATACACAACACCTACCAGAATTTGAATGCATAAGTACATCCGATTTACACCAAAAATGGCTGTTTTAATAGAAAATGATCTAAAAGGGTTTTTTCTCAAAAACTTTGTGTGTGCGTGTGTGTGTTTTTTTGCTGTTTTTGGCAAACCTCTATGAGAATGTCAGCCGTGAGCCGTTTTCATTAAGCCCGCCTTTCCCCGAGCCAATTGGGTGGCCATCTTGTCTTCACAGTGTCCGTTGGGATGACCGTCTATAACTGAGAATGGGAACACCTTACCGAGCTGAACTTTCCGCTCGCAATCATCTGTCACTTAATGTTCCACTTCAATGTTATTTTCAAACGTGTTTTGCCCGGTGGGGTGACGTGATGAATGTGCAAGCAGGCAGGTTCCATACGAGGCCTTACGTAAACGCTTTGGGCTCAGTCTTGTCGCAGGTGTTGAGGTGTATATTGTGTTAGTCGCATTGCTGTTGATGACGTCGTAAACATAAGGATTGATGAAAGTGCTACGGACAATAACCCCAGAAATGAACTTATGTTATTTTCCCGTTAATGTTCCTTCTGCTTAACCTTGGCGTAATGAGATTTAGTAGAAAATAACAGACCATTTTAACTTTGGAACAGTGTAGAAAGAAAAGAGTCCAGTGTTTGAAAAGTCCCGTCAGCTGTCAGTCTCTTTGGCGACGTTGCACTAATTTTGGGAGGAAATGTGACACTTTGTATAATTTTTTTATGCTGGTGATAGTCAATCATCGATTAAACAACCTATATAATATATCTCACTGATCTATAAATATTGAGAGAGTGGCTCAAATTCCATCCCATTTTTGTCAAAATCGATTCCATAATTATTTAATGTAAAATCACCTCTACAGCTCACAAAATGCCTGACACCTACGTAAACTCCTGCACTGTGACTGATTTTAAATTGACTTGAATGTCAAGAAAGCTGGTCGATTCCCCATGCATGGATGTTGACTGATTTATAAAGCATTCACCACATTACCCATTCTTTCCTTGGGTAACAATTTCAGTAAAATATTATGTAAAATATGCCTCACCTCGTCTTCAAGATCAGACAAGTTCAAATCTTTAGCGACACGTCGTTATTTTGAAGTGAAATATCGAATTCATTCCAAACTGTATTTATACTCTAATTTTTCGGGCCGTTTTATTTTTCCCATTGTTGGTCGTTGGCTTCTATCCAATAATGTTTATAAAATGTCTTTTGTTGTAGAATTTGTAGGCTTTGTGTTCACTTTTCTCCTTGATTTGAAATACACGAATGAAATAGGTTGCTGATATAGAAAATATCCAAAATCACATTTCACAAAGCGAATTTATGTTGTTATTCGAACAAGCATCTATAGTTCCGATTGAGAGGCGCCATGTACAGCCTAGCTTTCCCATCGTTCAGAATTCACGTTTTACTTAGGTTTAACAGTTGCCTCAAGGACACAATACTTTTTAAATTTCAAATCCTTCTTTCTTGACCCTTAATGATCGTTTAACAGGGTTTTTCTCTGATTAACGTTTCCCAGCCGACATTTCCACGTAGATTTATTCAAATCACCACCACCACTCTCTCAGACGGTGTTGCTCGATGGAATTCGATCGCACTTTGTGAAAGGCACGCGGCGAAAAACTGTGGTCATCCGGAAAGATAATTTATTGGAGGCCCTGATGGATTTATTCGTGCATTGCTGGGGTGTTGCAATCAACAGTGTGCTCTGTCTCTCCCTTCCTCCCCGTTCCCAGTGTACGATAATGCGGTTTTGAATAATTTAGTCGAAATGGCCCCGAAAGTCTCATAAATCACAGCCTTCTCTCACATCCAAATGCCATATCGCGGCACATGAAATGCAAATCGAATGTAGGGTTTGTATATCGTTTGTTTTCATTTACACAATATAAGTCTGCAATAAACCTGTAGGAATTGCTCAGCCTTTGTGTGTCTATTTCAAAAAAATGACAGACAAACTTTTACATATAACATTTAGCTGTAATCTGTCTTAACTCGGGGAGTTGGAATAGGTAATACGTCGGATTATTTTATATGAATCCTAAGAAACGGTATGCGTTAGGGATGCACACGTGCCTCGAGAACAATGTTTGCTGTTTAATGGAATACTCTTGTGGTCATTGTATCCGACACATATGCATTTCACATCTGACTGTGAATTTTTTTAATTTGTCTTTCCCATGTAAATGAATTTACCCAGTCCCTCTATATTTCCCTAGATGATTGTTCTGATGTGTTTTTTGTGCTGAGCCTTCAGAAATTTGTCCAAGCTACCGTTACAAATATTTTGACGCCATTTTTATGACAATCAAAGACACTGTTCGGGAAAAAACACACATTTTTCCAAGCCAAAAAGTTCGCCTTCCTCATCAATAGGGTCAATAATGATGCAGGTAATGAGGAACCCAATCCACGTGCGGCAAATTGTCCATCTTTATGTGGGAAACACCGACAAATTTCAATACAGTGTTGTAGTCTTAGGTCATCAAGGGAGAATTTATGCTTCATGTTATATCAGACATCAAAAAAAGGGCGACTGATGATCTTTGAGGTCTTACTTTGTGAGTTTCCGCATGAAAATGATCTATTTCTGATCGTTTGAAGCAATCACTTGCGATTATCAGTGCAATCAAAGAAAATGCAGTACCTGCAACGTAAAACGATAAGGGCGTCCTACAGTACGTATAAAGTGCTGGGCGAGGTGGGACTCCTGTAAATCCATCTCGGGTACCAGGCGCGCCAGGTGTATAGTATTGCACTGTAGTCCCGGTGGATACACCACCTTGTTGTGAGCGCACATGGCTCGGCTAACCTCTCATATATTCTCGGTTGGGTAGTTATCATGTCAATCTGGCCTCCTTTGCAGATTGACCGAGATTCGGGCGCCGCACCATGCGTTATGACTTCACGGCTAAACCAAATTGGGGGACGTCATTATCGTGTGAAAGCGCCACATTGAATAGAGTGGCTGAGCTGTGGCAAGAAAATTAGGAATTCGATCCGGGAAGATTTAAGGCGGAGTGAATTTCAAACACGGCAGCTGACACTGGTGTGGGCAACCGGGAGAAGATCGCTATCTACTGCGATTCTGCCCTCGTGGATGGGACGTTTCTTTTAAGTGGATCAGCTCGTTCATGTGATGCAATCTGCACCTGTCCTTGCGGCATGGTTTGGATTCATTTAAACTGAAATTCCTGCCAAGTGTCAGTTGATTTTATTTTGGCAATAGGCAGGCATTTATTAAAAATTGCTCTGTCGTTTGAGGTTAGACGGCGAACAAAAATGTTGTGCACGTGCGGTAATATAGCCAACAATTTACACAACGTTACCCTGCAACAGATGTGATGCTTCAAAAATACCCATTTTCCGTTATCTGGTTCGGCCGATACCCTGCCCGGTCTTTAACCCTTTTTGCCTGCAAGGAAAGGGCGAATAAAAAGACTGTTGTCCAAAGGCATGTTATTGCACCGAATGGTGCTCGTTCCTTCCGTGAAGAAATTGCTCATTTGCCCCACAACTCGACGTGTGGTACAGATATTGATGATTCCAAACTACAGTAGACATAAACGTAGATTGCAGCTCAGCCCAATTTTC